AAGTTGCGCACGTTAAAGATCCCTTGGTGGTCTAAAATCGATAAGAGTAGGCTTCGGCCGCCACCCGGGCAAAATTCAAAATTTCCTACCAAATGAAAATATTAGGTGTGTCCCGCGCGCTCATAAGACCTATGCAGTTGCGAGCGCCGTAAAACACTTTACAAAAACAACAAAGCATAATTCCATCTTCTCATGGGTGTGGTCAAATGAAAGATCTGGACTTAACCCAATCCGTACGCCCTGGGGTCGTTTTGTACTCCGGGGGTTGTATTCTTCACCTTTTAGAATACTTATCTAGTGCGAAGATTTCTTTGAAACTTTCAGCATTTCTCAAAAAGATCAATTTGACAGACTGCTATGCAAACCTTGCGGATCGGATTAACGAGCAATTTTCCTCTTTGGAAAGTGGTGGCACAGAGTTCCCCACGTCGTATGGATACGACAGTAAAACATGACGTACGGATAGGGTTAACGAGTAATTTTCCTCTTTGGAAAGTGGTGGCACAGAGTTCCCCACGTCGTATGGATACGATAGTAAAACATGACGTAGGATAGGGTTAATGAGTAATTTTCCTCTTTGGAAAATGGTGGGACAGAGTTCCCCACGTTGTATTAGTACGACAGTAAAACATGACGTACGGATAGGGTTAAGTAATGTAAACTTAACACCAGGTAATCACTGACTGTGTTTTGCCATAGATCTGGACAGGTATACCTATGTGACAGCTCACAGTCATAGATCTTAATTAAGCGTAAATTTAAAGCTATATTAAATCCGAGTCATCACACTCAAGGCAGATTAATAAGGTCGAATTCCCGTTCATTACTGTTAACCTTAATTGGTCGCTTTTAAGGACAAGCGGGCTAATCCAGATATCGGGGGCTTTCAGAAATCTTTACCTCTACCAAACGTGGGATTTGCCCTACCTAAAGGAGAAGTTTGCTTTCATTGGTGTGTATTTTTGTTTGGCTATAGAGAAAACTCTCCTTGTCTTTTGATGAAATAGAAGAAGAGTCCAAAACTTTACCTCCGATTTTCTCAAAACAGCATTTAAAAGCGACCAATTGTGCTAACTAACTCTTCATCATCATCATCCGGTGCCTTGCCGACTGGCGTGGGCGATCATGGACCTCCACTTCACTCTGCCTTTCGTTGCAGCAATGGTGTCTGTTGTTCTTGCTGCTCCTAGCCATGTTGTCATCTTGTCCAGTATCTTTTCCCTCTGTCTGCCTCTGCTTCTCTTTCCATCAAACTTGCCTGTTGTTACAATATTCTCTAATGTTTCTTTCTGCATTCTGTGTCCGAAGAAATTTGACTGTCGCTTAGTTATATTCGTCACAAGCTGTCTCCTACAATTTGCTCCAACCTAGACTTCTTCATTTGCTTTTCTAGCTGTCCATGGGGTACGTAGCATGCGTCTTATGAACCACAACTCTGTCGCCCCAATTGTTCTTTCCAGCTGTTTATTGATTGTCCAGGCTCCGCACCCGTATAATAGGATAGGCTCGATGTAACTTTTCAGTACTCCTATTACCGTTTCCAGTGACTGATGCTCACTAACTTACTTATAGCTTACTTTCTCCCTACACCGTCAGGTACATATAAGATAGAGAACAGTCGACG